GTCAACCTGAACTACTAAAAATAACTGCTTCTGACTCGGAAAATAAAGTAATGATGGTAAACAGTTTGAATAGACAATATTATTTGCTCACTATAAAAACTGACATCATAGATTAGTCCTAATGTATAGAGACACCCTCGTAGATACTCAGTAGACCAAACTTCAAAGATTGTATGCTAGCTTACTCCACCAATGGCAAACAATTTGATCTACAAAGTAGAAACATACTCTAACAAAGCATGCTTAAAATCTCGGATCAATCATGCATGAAACCATGATAAAGGCCTTTCTTTTGAAGAAAAAAAAATTGCTGAGAAGTCGGAAGAGAAAATTACATACTCACTAGACGGGTTAAGATTCAAGGACAGATAGTTTGATAGCCCAAAACGTTCTAAGATTCTCTTGACATAGAGATCGGCGGGAGCTAATGCAGCACAACACTGCAGCAAGAATAGATCAAGCTCTTGACCCTGTTCAGACCTGCACAAACCACAAAATATAACTGTCAAAGCAGAGCTTTCAATGATCTGATACATAATAGAGACTCACATACCAGCGAACTGAACGATACCACTCGCTTGATAATATGGGAGCATCCCCGTTCCTACGCCACATTCCAGCATGAACCTCGGCACTGAACACTCTTATTCGAAGGGGATGCTCCATCACAAAGGCAGAAAATCCATAAGGGTGGCAACCTCCTAACATGTGTCCAAGAAAGTCATTATATATCGCAGACGACCTATATGTAGCCCTGGCACTCATCATATCCAACGATGCTGATTCACCATAACATTGTTTGAGTGCCCTCCGCAGAATCATCGAAAGTAACTGGTGCAAGGGAATATGAACTGAGATACCCTGTGAACTAACATCATACATGACATCTGGCCAATCTGAAAAATTCAGAAATCGGAGGCCTTCAAACTCAGCTGAACTTCCTCCATCCAACGTACTGTCATCACAACCTCCAGGGTCAGCCTCTTGTCCAATAGGTCGGCCACAGTCCAATCCTACACCAACGTTAAAACCACCATGGGATGGTGAAGAACATCGTTTACTAAAAACTTCACTTGAAACTGTAAGCTTACTATCAGATGAAGTGAACGATTTAAAAATGGGCCTGCCTCTTCTAAACTTAGACAGCGTTCTTTTTAAAGCTAAGAAATTATTACCAGAGCCATTACTTGATTTTGGAGACAAGATACTGAGAGGGCCAACCGTGTTATCAGTTACCAACCAATTTTCGATAGCCCTCAAGCACTCAAATGTTAACCATAAAGCAGATGATGGAATAGGAATATTGTCGGCGGCCTTGGATGCATGATCAAATGCATTCTTCCCTATAACACTACCTACGGAGCTGTCCTGCGATAGCCTTCCCACTTTTGCATGTCTTAGTCTATCTTGGTCTTCGAACTCTGGTTTACAAGCGCTGAAGAAAGCATCTTCATTAGTCTCCTCACTAGAATTCATAGAAAATGCTCCAGCGACTAAGAGATAAAGAATGTTTGATATGGAGTGACATAAAACAAAAGGCAGATGAATATTTTCATTTTCTTCTTCTATGTGACTACCAGTTTCTCGCTTGTGAGGGTTCATTCCTTGCACAGAACCCAATAATCTCATCCACGTTCTAACAAAATCTCTCCCACCATGGCATAAGTATTTGGATACGACAGAGTGACTCATGACAAATCTTATATGTTCAACCACACGAACAGTAGTTTCATACAAGTTTGACCATTTAGCAACCTGCAAAGAAACTAAATTCAACCTTCTTTTATGCAAAAAGAACTTAGGGCAAACATATAAGTAGACTCCACTAATAAATAACGAAGCACACCATTAAAATAATCAGAGATGGGGGACCACTACCAGACAAAGGAGAAACAATATAACAAATTCAAACAGTTAGAATTAACACACAACAAGCTAGAAGTATTGTACAAACCCAAGACAAGAACAAGAACAGAAAAAATCATGATGAACAACTATGTTAAATTATCAGTTCCTAAGAAAATCACAAAAGTGTTGCCTACAATTGGAAAATGCTACAGACATTTTAAGCATTCCCCTTTGAATCCTTGTGACAATATAACACTTCGGGTATCTCTTGAGGAGCAGCTCTATGAAATGTCTTAATAGTAACTAAATATAAGTAGAAATTAATTCAATTGCTTAAGAAGTCCACACATTCACTAAATTCTAATTCGACAACTTAGCTCCCGTTTGGCCCCCATTTATTTTCATTACATTACAATTCATTTTTCTCTCTCCTATTTTCAACTACACAGTCTTCCATAAAATAATATTACACGTAAATCAAAAACTTTTCCTTCACTCATTTTTCAAAAAAAAAACACTATTCCACCTATTTTCTTTTCTACCAAATGGGAACTTAAAAAGATTTGGCGTCCAAGTCTTGCAGCATCTAAAACCATGGTCAGACTCTGTGTAGCTTCTCACGTGGCTTAGTGAGAAATGAAGATAAGGATAAGTACAGGATTTAGATAGCTTTTAAAGTAGAGTTTGATTAAATTATATTTGTTATAATTAGACATCATAACAAACAAAATTTAAACCAAACCTACTTTAAATCCTTTTTAAATCCTATATTTATTCTTATCTTCATTTCCCATCATACTCTCGTCTCCTCAGCTTAAATTCATTTTTTCTCTCTAAAATGATCATCGGAGCCTTCGGTTTTGCCGAATTATTTCTCTCCAGTGCCCACCCTTTCATTTTACTCTCTCAAAAGTCTACTAACTTTTTCACTTCCCTATCTTAGCTTAAAAAA